AAATTCTGTCTGGTTGAAGGTCAATCTGCAATAATCCAAAATGCCCAGAAACTTAAAAAAAAGAAAAAGGTAATATTAACCAATTAACACCTTATCTTTCAAATACATTCGATTCTGTAAAATACTACTACATATAAGTGGTTTAACTAATCCTAATTCATCTAAAAGTAAAAATATATTCACCATCTTCTTTAGCACATTATTTCAATTATTCTATTTCTCCATACATAGCTTCTTCAAATATATCAAAAATATGACTTCAAAATTAGTCTTTCCTTAAAGAAATGTTTTGATATTCATAAAAAACAACACAAACATAATACATTCTCAAGTTACAATGAAGATCCTACTAAGACTTTAAACGAAATAAAAAAGGAAAGCATCGAACCCATAAAACCAATATACACATTTATTTTAAATAACTTGCCATTAAACTGACCATCAAGATATATGATCTTTTACATCCAGAAATGCAAATGAGCATAATCAACAAAGGCCAAACATTTCTCAATATCACTTATATACACATATGTATAGAATTATAACCCAGCAATATCATGTAATAAATGAATACACACCTTACTTTAGTATATGCCAGGGTAGACACACAAAAACAAGAAAAAAATTTTGAAATCAGAGTATAAAGGGACTCTGCTTTTTCAAACAATGCAGCACTGAAAGCCAGGTCAGCATCCTTGGGCATTACTAGGAAACTTTAGCACATCTGATATTTCCATCATCTTCAAGATTCCTCTGAATAATCAGAAAATTTCCCAGTCTCCCCCTACCTCACCTGTCCAGACTTCCTTTGGCTTTCTTCCCTCTACTGTGTAATGATGCTATTGTGGTTATTTAGGCTTTAAATGTTCAGAGATACAACCCCCTCTCTATATTAATTCAGTTCCTTTTCTCACAGACACTGACTCAGCCGTGGGTTGTGCAGCACTGACGTTTCTAACCAAACAGCATCCTGTGAGCTATGATCATCCCATTTCCCCATCCCTGTGCAGTGATTGGCTATTGTAATTGATAGACAGACTGGAGAAAACTCAGGAGATAAGAGCTTAGTGATATGAAGATATGTTGCCAAATGCCATCTGTAAAGCTAATTCTAGCTCTGCCAGCTTGCCAGGTTTTAGGAAACTAGGATGCAGCTTTTTTTTTTTCTTTCAGTATTCCATTGTGTACCCGTACTGGACAGTAAAGCTTCTCTTTAAAACCAAAGAGTAAATGTTATTTGTACTTTAAGAATCCACTCAAGGACTACTCTAAAATAACAAAAGTTTTCCATTTCTAAACTGCTGCTGGAACTACAGAGTGGCTTAAAAGGCAAACTGGAAAGCTCAATCTTCATGCAGTCTCAGAAGAAGCAGACATGCGTATTTCTATGTGGAAATGAAACCATGCAGCAAAGTCTGATATTGAATATATGATGCATTTATCTTTAGTAACCTGAGCAGCCTGCAGATCTGAATTTTAAATAGTCAGATTCGACCCAATTTATATACTCAAGAGCTTTTGGCACATTGTCGATCTAGGCATTTTAACATTAATTATACAGAAAGGGTGCTCTTTCTTTTTCCTTTTTAAATAGCAAAAATGCCTCTATAATTTTTTAAAAGTTGTCATAATTCAAGCCAAATATACTTCAACTGAATAGATTTTTAATCTCTCAGCAAACTATTAAATCCCTCTTATACAGGTAATAACTATTATAAGTTTTATAACTACTGAGAAAGATCAGTAACTTTTATAACTTTGTAATTCATTTGTATGTTTTCCCATGTCCAGGGTAGCTTCCAGTCTTGTCTTGCCTTTTATCAATTTATCAGTGTTATACATATCAGATCTACATATAAAATAAAGCTCAGAAAATAAAGTACATTAGCTATATTTGATGAAAGAGAAGCCATAAGGCAATGCCCACCAAACTCTCAAACCTAAATGATAAGCACATACAAAATAGTAACTATTACTGTTACTTTTATATTCAGTACATTTATTTTCTATTTTCATCCTTGCCAGTAGCAAAAGGTGGGGATGAAAGGAAAAGATGGAAAAGAGAGGCTATTCTAAATTATGAAGAGAACAAATAAAAAATAAATTTAAACAAGACAACTTTTTAGGTTAACTACAAAAACTGAATCAATAAAGTATTTTTATTTCTTTACTGCTAAAGACTGAATGTTTGTGTCCCCCAGTCATATGTTGAAATGTATTCCCCGCCCCATGGCATTTGGAGATGAGGTGATCAGGTCACAAGGGCGGAGTCTCCTGAATGGGATTAGTGCCTTTATAAAAGAAACCCCAGAGAGATAAATCCCTAGCCCCATCCTCCATGTGGGGACACAGCAAAAAAGAGAGCTGTCTTAACCACGAAGAAAGCCCTTAGCAGATACAAAATATGCCAGCACCTTAATCTTGGACTTCCCAGCCTCCAGGACCAGGTAAAATAAATTTCTGTTGTTTATAACCTACCCAGTCTATGGTATACTGTCATAACAGTATACCTAAACAGACTGAGACATTCACTTTTTGTAAATTTAAATCCCCAATTCTATTTGAGGTGGCAATATGCCCACCTATAATATTATATATCTCAGTCTCCCTCATCCAGACATGACCATATGACACAGCTGTAGCCAATAATTTATAAACAGATGCCTTGTGGAAATTAGTGAGATATTTAATTTCTTGGTATCAGTAAAACCCCTTTCCCATTGTGCCCTTCTACCTTTATCCTCCTCATCTGGAAGGTGGACATAACAGCTTAAGCTACAGTAAAGCCATCTTGTGAACATAAGGAAGAGCCAAGAAAATCAAAGACTTTTGATCCCAACATCCTTAAACTACTAAATCTACATCAGGTATTGCCTACCTGTGGACTGCTTATGTACAAGAAAAGTAAACCCCTAACTTAAGCCAGTGCTTAGTCTGGTTTTCCTTTAATCAAAAATCTATAAATAAAGTATACAAGACTCAAAAAAAAAGAAGAGAGTAGGTAGAAGCATGGATCTGCCATTTATAAGTTGGATGGCCTTGGGCAAGTTTATTAACCTCATCCTTTTCATCTGTCAAATGGAAACAAGTAATACTATTCAGAGAGCTCTACCTTCAAACTCAGTCAAGATACTCTTCAGAAGATCCCTGGCAGGAATCCACCTAATCATCTGAAGATTAGCTCAAGTCTCATTTTCACCGATTCCTCCTCTGAACTCTTCTTTTACTATAATTCACTACCATAGTTTAGTGCCCTACTGTTCACTAATTATTCCATATATGGTTATTAGAGCATCCTTTTAGTGATATCCTGACAAACTGCTGAATCTCTCTTGAACCGAGTGCAGGTTCTTAACAATCCCTGCTGACTGTTAGTATTTAAAACTTCTCAGTCAATTATCAGCTCAAAAAATACCGTTTAAAAAAGTCAAATGGTGCATTTTTTAAAGTAGCCTAAACATGTTCCTAAATACACACAACAAGAGATCACAAAAGAGGTTAAAATAAGCTCAAAGGGTTTCACGATATTTGCACTAAAAAAAAAAAAAAAACCCTGTATCAGTATTTATTTTCTATGCTGCAGGAGTCTACCTAAAAAGAGCACCAAAAAGTTACTGATGCTCTATGTGTTACTGAAATAACAGCAATGAAAAAAGTACTGTTAGTTTTTATGAATTTTCCTCATTGTATGCATGTAGCTTTTATAAAGCAGCTTATTTTCACTCTGTCACCATTTCATATGTAATACACTACTGTACATCAGCAGAAAAATGTTAAGAACTAGGAAGAATAACATACTATTCACCAGAAAATAGATACACAACATAACTAAGAAATATAAATATAGCCCCAACACTTAATGAGATAAAACCAGTATCTCTTTAATCTCAAAGACAAAACAATTATCCATGTAAGCAGGACAGAGATAAAGAACTAGAACCAGAAGCTGAAGGACACACACACATATACAAATGAATCCCAAAACACTCATGTCATTGGTATGTACTTATAAATTAATAAAATCAACTCAACATTTTCATTTTAGACCTCACCACATTAAAAGTCCATAATAAAGGTAGACATCTTATCAGGAGACTTAAACAGTACCAGCCACTCATATTTCCTAGCAACAGCATATAATTTTAAAGTACCTGAATTATTTCTTTAAAATTACAAAAAAGTTCAGTATCACAACATTTTTAAATTCTTTTTTAAGAAAGCTGATAAAAGTTTTCAGTATCAGGAGCATTTTACATTCACATAAGTTAAATGTTCAATATCCCTTTAGTAAACATTCATAAAGCACAGCACTTTATGAGAACATGCTTGCATACCTGCAATGAAAGTGAGGTTTATGAGCTGCTAATTAACACCTTAAAATATCAGATCACTTTAGTGTTCTAAATGAGGTGGTCCTTATTATGCCACACAGCACAAAATGAACGCTTCAAAAATTATAAATGGGTCAAAACTTGTGAAATAAATTTTATTTAATATATCAAACTTTAAATGAAACAGTACAGCCATTGCAGAAAGACTGATTTTCCCATTAGGATCAGGATGACAACACAATATATATTCACATAGTTAAAAATGTATGGAGGTGAAGATTGGAAAGAGCCTATAAATTATCCTGGATAATCTATACACAATGTACTTTGAAAATAAATTCCCAGTAGGGAGTTTTAAATACAAAGAACTAAAATATCTTGCCAGAGTTCCCAGTTAAATTAAATATTGCATTTATTCATGGGGTTAACTAAGGAGTTTTAACATTTTTACAAGCAGAAATAAAAATCAAATAAATATAAGAAAATTAAAAGGAAAGAAATTTTCTCTAAAAGTAATTTAAGGAGAAATGCAAACATTCATAATATTTTGTAAACCCCATCCTCTGACAGGACTTGCCACTTTTTATAAAGAACCAAATGCAGTTTGGTTCTTTATAAAAATCTACTTTATCAGAGCTTTGATATGTGAAATACATATTTTCTACCTACCTTGAATGTTTATAAAGTTTACGAGGTCTACAATGCAATTTCCGATCCCAATTCTCTGGATCACTGGAGTTACTGTCATAAGGATGAGGCCGTCCTGCCATCCCACTTCAAGCTTTCTCACACTACCGCTCTGAAAGCACACATGTAGCACCCATAACCTACATAAAAGAGTAGTGTTGACCTTTAAGTCTACTCCATGCAGAAGAAAAGTCACAAAATTTTCATTACTTTCTAATATTAGTGACATTTTTTCAAAAGTGATGAACCAGATTAAAAATACTAGACATACAAAATACCACAAATTAGATTAAAATGAACACCGGTGCCTCTTTAGGTACTTTTCATTTGATTCTTCCATTAAATTTGCTACTGCTGTATGCAAGAGTTTAATAATGTGCTATTTATATTTACTAATATATTTAACTGCCATCTGGATACCTCATGTTTCCAAACATTAATATGGTACCAAAAAAGGCAAAAACAATTCCAGAAAATTCTTTCAGACAAAAATTTCACTTGGAATATACATTTCTTACTTACTAAAAGTTTAGGATTTTTAACAAAGCATCTAGCATCCAGTAAGGCCAAAAACCAACACTGTTACTTCTTTAACCAAGTTAAAGACCTATTTAAATAGATACTTAATATTTGCCCCAAAATAAAACTATGTAAGCATCCTGATGTTAACTTACAGTGCGATTACCACAAAAATATATTTTTTAAAGATTTTATTTATTTTATTTTTACAAAGTGGAAGGGAGGGGAAAAGAGAGGGAGAAAAACACCAATGTGTGGTTGTTTCTTGCATGCCCCCTACTGGGTACCTGACCCACAATCCAGGCATGTGACCGGAGACCCTTTGGTTGGCAGTCCGGCACTCAATCCACTGAGCCACACTAGCCAGGACTCCACAAAAATATTTTATCAACATGATTTATATACTTTATTCATTTCACATTTGAGGTTTGTGGCTTATTTCCACAACAGTTGTATGAAAGTATAAGAAAACATGCATAATAGCTATACACAGAATACCTGAACTAAGGCTTTAAAGTATACTCACTTTCCGATTTAATCTTCACAACCACTTTACAAGGTATGCATTATAATCCCTATGTACACAATAGAAAACAGTCTCAGAAGCTTAATAATATTGCCAAAGTTCCCAATGCTTATAAATGGCAGAATTATAAAGAACAAGAACAATGAGAATTTATGATATAGAGTCTTGATCTTAAAAAAGGCTCAGAATGGAGTATTGTTTGGAAACAGTAGGTCAGATTTGACTTTTAGAGATTGCAAACACCAAAAGAAAAACCAAATGTAGTTAAACAATGTGGACAAAGTTATATTAAGTCAGACAAGAACCCAGGTTTCCTGATACCTACTCCTATACCTGTATACTTTCTATAAATTTTTCTAAGCTGGAGTTGCTAGAAGTGAGGAAGAGCTGTGCACAATAGTCAAGGGGAACCCAGAATGGGAGAAGACTACACCTTCTTGAGTTTTATAAGGGATTTCAGTACAACTTTCTCTTTCTCTTTCTTTCTCTCTCTCTCTCTCTCTCTCTCTCTCTCTCTCACACACACACACACAAAACATAAACTCATTAAAATTGTGAGTCTATCTCAACTCATTAAAAGAAATACTTTCACTTTAGAGAAACTATTTTTCTATGTTTATACTTTTTCCTTATAGATACTCAGTATTTTCTTTCCAAAGATGTTCATGTACATGAACATTTTAATAAATATGTAAATAAGTAGGTAGATCAAGGAGTGCAATAAAAATAATAGAAAAGGGAAAGGGGGAGAATTTCATAATGGCTTATTTAAATTCTAAACAAATTCCAGTTTATTTGTTGAATTACCCTGGAAAAGAAACCTATTTCCTCAAGGATCACTGAATAATTGAGAATCAATTACATATTAAATGAACATAAATCCTATAAAATTATTTCAAAAACAAAAAATTCTCCAACTCATTTGAGTTTTTAATTATAAAAATAATGTATTTACCAAAAAAGAAACTTTGTAAAACTTCAACTAAATATTATAGCTAGTTATCTGCCCTGAAGCAATGACGCAAAAGAGAAGAGTGAGAAAGAACAAATTAGAGACAAAGGAGAAAGTCAGATGGAAAAAAGTGGTCACAGAGCAAAAGAGACACAAAAGGTAAAAATAGTTGGGAAAAATTGGTAAGTTGGGAAAAGAAGATGTAGAGAGGCTTACCGGGTTCTGTAGAATGAGATTTAGCACATTTTCTCCTTACTTCATAAGTCTTCTAGTAAGCTATTTTAGGCATTAACATTTCTTTACACAAGCATTTTTCCATCTCCTAATCCATAACCATACACCCCTGTGGATAAGATAGCCACAACTGACCTGAGGGAAGAAGGATCCTAAACCATGGGAGGCATGCAGTAACTAAAAAAATAAAACCACGGGGAATGGCTAAGGTAAATTCAGATGCGTGTTTTAGCCATTTTATAGTGGGTGGCATATATCTAGCAGCTGGGAAATTCCAGTATGTCTTCCTAATCAATCTGAGAGAAATTAACAAGCCTGTGTGTTTACAACCAGCCACAGGAAAGTAAAGGATGTTCAGGTGAAGGCTATCAAGAAAGAAAAAAAATCAATTGAAAAATCCTATTTCTATTTCATTTGTCAACAAAAGTTGGTTATCACCATGTGAAAGCTTTCTCCCCACTCTTCACTCCTCCCAACTGTCAGGGATACAAGCACACTAAAAACAAATAAGATTAAAGTTTAAGATATCTGGAAAAAAAGATACCTGCATTAGTCTATACATACTAGTGAATTTTAAATGTCATCAATAACCTGTTACTACAAATACATAAAAGGCAAATCACACATTATATACTACTTTGAAATGTCTAATGATCGAATTTTGAAACGTCTAATGATCTCTTCTATTTTAATAATCTCTTCAACTTTTTGCCATACTAATGACACTGTATTTATCTTATTTCATTCATCCTTTCATTCATTCATTCAAGCACTTACTGAACAACTACTACAATAAGCCAAGCAATTTACAAGATTCTGAAGCAAGTTGGACATTTATTTGTTCCTGTTCTCAAAAAACTTACTCTTATAAAGGAAAAAAGACTCCACCAATGGTTCCATATGCCACTTCCCCGTGTCTCTCTTACCAAGATAGTTCTTGCACTGTTACCCCACCTTGAAGTCATCCTTGACTTTCTCATTCCCCTATATCAAACCTACTTCAAAATGTTTTGACTCTTTCCCTCCCGTTTCACCCATAAGGCTATACTGCCTTCAGTTAAAACTCTTAACAGCTATCAGTAAGCCTCCTGGTTGACCTCTTTACCATTCCATTCAATTCTGCATCTGCTCTGTAGTAATAAAAATTATCTTTCTAAAAGCTTCTAATAGCTCTCCATTTCCGCTATCCAAACTCACCAGAAAAAGTTCCTTCAAAATATGACACTTGGATCCCCAATGCCTACTTCATATTAGGCAAACTAAAGTTTATTATTTTTGGATCTTGAAAGCAAAAAAATTATACTAGACTACTCAAAACAAAATACTTAGAAAATGGCACAGTCCGTTACTATTTTTAGGCATGATAAAAAATAATCTAGATTCTAAGTAATCTAGATACAATCTTTTTACAGGCTGGAACAACTGGGCCTATTGGCTAGAAACATGAATTCAGGAGACCGCCAAAAGTTAACTGGTAAAAAGGTAATTCCATTACTTCCCCTTCTCTTGGATATTACTATCCAAAAAGGGGGGAGGATTATGATAACATAAATAAGTGTTCTCAGGGGCACTATTTTTAGGTAATATTAACACAATGATCTATGGAAGTGTAAAACAACCTGATAGACAGTATATGGAGACAAGTTACTCTGTTCTATGTATCAATGTACTAGGAAGTTTAAATATAAGGCATCCCCACTAAGTAGAGCTCCTATGAAAAAGAACATCCAGCCTAAGTCTTCTTTTTTTTAATTGAGGAATGGATACTTTTTTTTAAAGATTTTATTAATTTATTTTTAGAGGGGAAGGGAAGGAGAGAGGGAGAGAAACATCAATGTGTGGTTGCCTCTCCCGCTCGCCCTGCTGGGGACCCAGCCTACAACCCATGCATGTGCCCTAAACTGGGAATCAATCCGTGACCCTTTGGCTCACAGGCCCACGCTCAATCCACTGAGCTACACCAGCCAAGGCAAGAAAAGTCTTGTATGAGTTTATTTGAACCAAACTGACTATAATTACCAGGAAATAAAAGTAAATGAATTGAGAAAATGCTCCGGGACATGGAAGTTTTGCCACTTATTTTATACATTAAAATCAAAGGAGTAGAAATGTAATGAGGGCTATGTGAAATTCATTAGTGGCAGATTAGGGAGGCAGGAGAAAGCAAAGTAGGGAAATCTCTGAGACTGGATAAAAAGCAATTCTCTTTTTACACTGGTGAGTATTAGATAGTTAACATTTACAATACACAGAGGTGGTATTTGGGCAACAAGATAACAATGTGGTCTCCTGCTCTGGTGCTGGTAGTTGGGTCTGCAAAAGAAAATTACTCTGCCATTTCAGAAAACTATTATCTTAGATGCACAAAGACAACAAACAATTTCAAAGGTAAAGACAGACCTTTTGTCAAGGAAGCTACAAGCCCTAGGACATGACTAACCACTATGCCCCACTTCCAGAAATTTTTACTTTGAGACCACCCTGTGGGGTTACTTTGGGTCTCTGGGTTTGTAGGGCCCTGAGCCTGCAGGCTTAGTATGTGCTCCTTTTTCATCCACAAAACCTCTCCTAAAGAAAAGAAACAATTACCATTAATTTACATGGAAAAAAATTTTGACCATTCCCAGACCCAAAAATAACCTACCAAATCATACCAAATAGGCTTAAGAAGTCCAGTTTTATGCTAAGTGCAAGACCTCAACAAGCTCTCTTAGGCTTTTCTGGTATCTTAGGACACATCTTGCTAACAGATGTACAAAATGTTCACAGAAACAGTTCAAAGCTATATGGGGCTTGAAGCCGAGTGTAGTTCCCAGGGAAGGAGGAACCTGGTGGTCTCATTGCTAGGGATTCATGCTGCCTCAATAACAGCTTGCTGCAAAACACACTGAATGCTATTCTTGCTTTTTGCTTGTATTCATCAAAGCAAAAGGGAAAACAATGAAAAGAACAGAATCACATGGTGATAGGGAGCCAAGGACTACCTTCAGCACATAGAAAGCCGAATATCAAGAGGTATGGGTGGTAGAGGCTGATCAAGAAGTAGCCAAGAAGCCAAGCTAGCACCCAAGCTAGTAAAATGGTCTCGGGCATTCTTTCCTATGTGGAAAAGACCAAAAGGAGGAGAAAGAGCCCCAGAGAGCAAATAAATAATTTGAGATTTGCAACTGAAGAGGAAAAACCTGACTTCACACATTAATTCTGTACTAACTATACAGAACATTTTCAGAGTGTGGACCCTAAGTAAGAAGATGCCTACTACGGGCTACTGGTGGTTAACTGGGCTCAAATTTTAATAAGTGGAGTCTAGCAGATGTTTCTACACAGGGGCCTCTCAAGCAAAACTCTACTTCAGGGAGAAGCCTATACTGAATTGCCTGCCTGCACTGTGTTTTCTGCCATCCCAGCCAGCCCTTATAAAGAAGTTCTTATAATCCTAGTTCAACCTATAGGACTATGGTTCTCCCCATCCAGTCAGAGCTGTGCAGCTCCAACCAACCAGAGTGGCTCTATTCTGACCAATCAAGACAGTGCCTTATCAAACTGCAAGGATTTGGTGTCCTCAGACTAATCAGGGACTGGAGCAGACTTCTGTTCATATAAGTCTGTTCCCTCTGGCTGTGGAAACACACTTTCCCTTTCAACCAGAGACTGAAGACTGCATTTCCTGGCTACAGTTGAAAAACAGAAGATGTCTTGCCAGAGCAGAGAGGCAGAGTGGAGCAGACCAGACCACACCAGAGCAGAGCTGCACTGCCTAGCTGAAGACTGGCCTGGCCCCTGGGCAGCCTCAGAGCTGTGTTATTCCGTGCTGTATCACCTATGAGCTGTTTTCTTGAATAAAGTTTCTTTCTTCACCACAACCCAAACTGCAGATTCCTGTTGGTATTGAATTTGCACCAACCATCAGTTGACAAGAGGGCCCTAGACAAAGAATTTCTGAAGGGCCAGAAGCTTGAGGGATCATTTAATAAGCCTCTCGCCTCAGGAATAAAAAAGACTGTACAACCCTGAAATGTACAAAATAAATGATGCCTATAACAACCATAAAAGCTTTGAAAAAGTTCTACAAAGTTTTTATCATTTCCTCATGATTGCTGGCTAACCCCGCTCTAAGTGTAAGATAAATCTTTAAATTGGTCATTTTTAGCTACATCAAGAAATGGAAAGCCTGGAGGGAATGAGTACTAGCACAGATAATTCTCAAAGAGAAAGAACAAGAAAGAACTTTTAAGAGAAAAGAAAATCTGAGTAAATTATAAACACACACACACACACACACACACACACAAACACACACACACAACTGTTTAAGAGCACCGGACAGTCCCCGAAGCATGTAAGAGTGAAAAAATAGTTTACTCTTGAAAAACCACAACTGGGAGTGAACAGACTCATGAGTTCAGTTTGAAATTTTTATGCTGAGTGCCCTCCTCATCCCTGACAAATACAGTGAAGGAAACCAGAGAGCCACACAGCTCAAAGTAATTAAGAAAATAGTTGAAGGCTGAAAGTGCATCCAGAAATTTAAGATAGATATACTGAGAGTAAAAGAACCAGAGAGGTGAGACCCAAAAATCTGAGCATAAATTCTGTTTAATTAAGCTACACATGCATGGGGCACCCCAGGTAGCTCTATGGTAGGCTACAGGTAAATTCACCCTAGAAAGCTGGTACAAGATCCACAAGTTTGATGTTTTTTTAACCAAGCTCATTCCCCAACCATGCACAGCCCAAGCATCAGAAAGCTGAAGCCGTTACTGGCTTGGGTATCAGGGAACAGAGACCAACAGTGGCCAATGAACAAGAAATGAGGAAGGAATCCCCAGAAGTAAAGGAACCACAAAGGGTGAGTTCCAAAGTCTGAGTATAATCTCTGCCCCAATTTTTGACTCACCACCAAACTGCACAGGTGCAGGAGATCCCTCCCCCGACCCTACTCCCGAGGAGACCAAGTTAAAAAACAAATAAATGAAAGAAGAATTAAGCATAGATTATCAGCTGCAGTTTGAGTCCAGGCAAGTTAATGGTCTACAAGAAAAAAACTAAAAAAACAATCCTCATAATAAACTACAATGTCTAGGTTTCAACCAAAAACCATGAGATGCAAAGAAACAAGACAAAAAAGGTAGTCACTAGAAACTGACTCCAAGTGGGTCCAAACATAAGATTTAACAAATAAACACTTCAAAGCACATATTATAAATATAGTCAAGCAATTAAAAGTCAGTATATTCAACAAACTAAGATAACAGTAGCAGAAGGAGATCTCAATAGAGAAGTGAAAACCATTAAAAATGTAGTAATTCAGATGTAGCTGAAAAAAAATAACTAAAGTGAAAAATTCATTAGATGAGAATAGCTATCGGAGCAATAACAAAAATAGAATCAAGGAACTTGAAAACAGATCAGCAAAACTTACCCAATCCACAGAATAAAGAAAAAGATTGAAGGAAAATGAACAGATCTGCAGATGCAGGTGGGACAACATCTAATGATACAACATAAAAGTAACTGGAGCTGAGGCATTATAGTAAGAAGCTAGGAAAGCGGAATGAGGGAAACTGAGACAAGATAATTAAACAAGGCCAAGCAATTAACAACCTGCTAATAGCAAGATCTTTTTTAAAATAAAAATTTTTTTATTGATTGATTTTAGAGGGGGAGGGGGAAGGGGAGAAGAGGGGGGAAGACCATCTGATACAGATGGTCTGTATCTCTCCTCCCCAACCAGTGAGTACTTTAAATCACCCCAGTTAAGGAGAAAGGTATCAGAGACTGAGTCAGTGCCATTAGTGTCAGCCAAAATCCAGAAACGATAGGGGAATACATACCAAAACCCTTGTAAGATTACAAGGGCCCAGAATTCTAGAGAGGGGCAACGTTAGAGTAGACAGATGATAACGAAAGAGGGTGTGAACAGAATCAGACATCTGATTAAGCCCGTTTAAGAAAGAAAAAAGTTTTTCAGTCACCCTGGGGAGTAACCAACATCTTTCCACCAAAGGAAACAAAGACAGTTTTTCAGTCACCCCCGCAAGTCCACCCAAGTAATGGGAGAAGGGAGAAAATGGTGAGGGATTTCCTTTTACTAAATGCATGTACAATAGAAGCCAAGATGGCACAAAGGGAATTCATTTTACTGCGCATGTGCAGTAGAAGCCAAATGACCAAGTGGAACTGCCATAAAACAGGGAGGGCAAAAGCCCTGGAAAATCCAGGGAAGAGATTACACAGTTTGAAACAAAGCCTGCTCTTTCCCAAACCCAAGGAAATATAAGGAAGTTTAACAAAGACCTCAGGGTAACCGCTGCCCTCTTGTCTGTCTGCTCTCTTCCTCTCCGAGAGAGAGTACGATTGCTTTTCTCTTTAATAAACCTTGCCACTGTGGCTTAAAACTCCTATGTGTCTTTTCCCAACACCACAGAAGAACCTATTTCTTCCAGTAACAGAGTCACTACTAATATATACAACATAATGGAATCTCAAAAGCATTATAAGTGAAAAATAGACAAACTTAATAAAATATTTTAAAAAATAAAAAATAAAATATATTTTTTAAAAAAGGAAAAAATAGCCAAACTTAAAAGTTTCATACCATATGGCTCTATAATTCTCAAAAGACAAAAGTACAGGGTTAGAGAATAGAGCAGCCACAGGTTAGGGTTTGGGGTACTACACAGGAACAGCACACAGTAATTCTGGGGGGTCATGGAACTACTCTGGATCTGGATTGTGGTAGTGGTGATTACACAATTGTATGCCTTTGTCAAAACTCATTGCACTTTACAAAAAAAGAAACAGGAAAAACGCATAGAATTTTACACCAGAAAAAGAATTTTATTGCACATAACTTTAAAAAGAAATTTTAAAATAGAAAAAAATCAGCAGAGATATTTAATACTTATAAATATCAAACATATTAGCATGGCATAAGTATACCACTTCTTGATCAAAACCCCAAGTCATACTGCCCCCATTACCATCCCAAGGATACTTAATCAATAAGCTTTCTTCCCACAGCCAAAAACGACATACAAAAACTTTCAATAATGAAAACTGGTAAGAACTTTTCTACTTCTGCAACAATAGTAAGTGACCAAGAGAAGGTTTCAGAATCAGATAAAACTAGTTGTATAACTTTGTACAAGCTTAACATCCAAGACCCTGATTTCCTTAAATGTGAAATGAAGAAAACAACACAACTCTCATTACCATTATTTTACCTATTACTACTGTAGCTGCCAATCAAATTCTTGTAAAGAATAAAAGAGACAGGATATTCTAAACAACACAGTGCTGGATATACTGCTGACTTTTTTGAGTAGACTACTGAATGCAAATTTTGTGTATTTCATTAGTTCATTCATCATTTTCTATTTCACTTTTAAAATCACAGAAGATGAGAATTCTTAAATAGCCACTTGACATTTATTGAGCACCTATAATGTACTAGATGGTTGACATTAAAAAATAAATGATATCCATGTCCTGAATTAAAAAACAAAACAAACAAAAAAACCTAAATCACAACACAGGTGATAGAGGAAGAATGATCAGAAATAGGATTTCTATTCATTTTGAGCTTTCATAATTTCTCCAGGGTACACCTGAACTCTCCCCCATCCCACTTAACACCAAAAATACCTTAGACTTGCCTTGACCTGACCATTGTGGCTCTCACTTGGTTGGTAATAGTCCCTCTAAGCAACAGGTTACCAGTTCAACTCCCAGTCAGGGCACATGCCTGGGTTGCAGGTTTGTCCTCAGTCAGGACACATTCAAGAGGCAACCAACTGATGTTTCTCTGACATCGATGTTTCCCTCCCTCTCTCCCTCCCTTACCCTTTCTCTAGAAATAAATAAATATAAATAAAATTAAATAAATATATAGAATACCTTAGACTTCTACATGGTCCTCAGTGAGTCATGTACTTTGGAAACAATTTCTGGTAACAACATTAAGAGCTAAATCAAAGCTTTATGTCATTCCTATAGTAACAAAAATGAAAACAGAAACATTTCACTGTTAGCTTCAGAGTAAATTTTAATTTCTGGACGTACAAACCAATCATCCTACTCTCTAGCCTCTGAGAAAACTCCTTCAATTATTTTTATCATAATATTTTTGCGGTATCCAAGAAGCTTAAATTTTTAAAGTTTTCTCTTTTGTACATAACAGCCTCCTTGCTCTGTAACACTTTACTGCAAATCCAGTGGCTTATAACAACACACATCAATCATCTCAAGTTTCTGTAGGTCAGGAATATGACAGTTTAGCTGGGTCCTCTGCAAGACTACGATGATCAAGGTGTCAACCATGACTAAAGACTCATTTGGAGGCTCAACTGCAGAAGGATCCACTTCCAAGTTTACTGACATTGTAACAATGCATTTCCTTACTGCTGTAGGATTCAAAGCAAGGCCCCCAGCAAAATGGCATCTTCTGTAAAGTAATTGGGGAAGTAACATCCCATTACCTTTAACATATTCTTTTGGTTAGAAGAAAGTCACAAACTGTGCTCACACTCAAGGGGAAGGGATTATCAAAGGCATGAATACCAGACGGGAGGCAGGAATCATGGGAACTACCTTATATTCTGTTTGCCATATTGTCCAACACATTCTATCTATGTATTACACTAAAAGTTTAAGATTCTGCCTAGCCCTTGTGTTAACTACACATACTATTATGCTAACACACGCATATACACAAAACACATACATCTCTTTTCTCTCCTTGACACATATACTGCATTATTTGTCACAGCAAAAGTCTAGAACCAATCTAAATATTCATTAAAAAATGAATTTCATAAAAATATGCAGTGTCATGTAACTAGTAAAAATGAGATGGACAGATACATACTGATAAGGAAAACATTCCAAGATATTCTGTTAAGCTTAAAAGCAAGGTACAGATAGCATTATGTACTCCAATATTTTTTAAAATATATCTGTAAACACCCACCCATGCTTGTATATGTTTTAAAAATGTCTACAAATACCAAATAAAACATATGACTCTGGGGGAAGGCCAGACTGAAAGAGACTTTTCATTGTATCCCTGACACTATTTGAATATTACATACTATTTTCATGATGATAATGTGGAGGGAAAGTCTACAATAAAGAATTTGAAGATGGCTTTGTTACAAAAATGTTTTCCCCTTGTTTAATTTTATTACTTACATGTACTGCTTAAATATGGTCAATATATTTTAAGGGTTGGATAATATCTTTTTCCTCTACCCTTCTAAGTTCTCAGTTGGGACCCCTGTGACAAAAAACAGATAATCAAGAGAAAAGCATACAAATGTATTTAACATAAGTTTTAAGTGACCTTCATAAAGAAATGAAGCCCTGGCCCTGGCCAGGTAGCTCAGTTGGTTCAAGCATTGTCCCAACAGGCCAAGGTTACAGGTTTGATCCCTGGTCAGGACACATACAAAAATCAACCAATGAATGCATAAGTAAGTGGAACAACAAATCAATGTTTCTTTCTCCTTCTCTCTAAAATCAATTTTTTAAAAATCTTAATTAAAAAGAAATGAAGCCCTGAAGAAACAATTAAACCTGGATGTTCTTATGCTAGTTTGGTGAAGAGTGGAAAGTCATGGAAAGATACAACAACAAGTATAAGCTAAGTGTAGTAAACAGAGGGAAATTTATTAGCAAGGCCTGTTGTCCAGAGTCCTCCATGTCCCCTTCATCTTTGGAGCTAAGGATGTTCCTGTCCTCTGGATATGCAGAGGACACCTCTCATGTCAGAGTTTTGCAACCTGTTTTGGTGATAGGGCAGAAAGTCCTTCCTACACATGCCATTTCTCAAATTCCTTAAGGTATTCAATACACCAAATTGGGTAGCATTTCCTAAACCCCATCATTATGCATTGTTAGAATATGTTTCTGCCACACATCTATTAAAATGTAAGATCCTTGAAGGCAATAACAAGGTATGATTTGTATTTGTGTTCCCATAGCTCGGTACAACTTATATGTAAGTTTTTACAAAGTGTTTTAATTAATTAAGATGAAACAAGCAAAAACATTTAACATAATCCATTAGTGGAGAGAAAATATAAATGATGAAGATTTATAGGCAGTCTTTAACTTAGTTGCTGTCTTAAATCTCACCCTAGAATGAGCAGAAATTCTAATAATTCAATTTCTAAATGTGGGGTTAAAAGAGGGAAAATATAACAAATATCCCTGAAAACATTTTTAAAGAAATTATCAAACTAACCCCAAGTTTCCCCCAAATACGGTCTTTTGCCATGTATAATGCGTATTTTGCCCAAATTTTTGAGGGAAAAGTAAGGGTGCACCTTATACATGGGTGTAATAATTACATACTATGGGCATAATAATACTGTGTATAATATGCACCAAAACTATGGGTGCACATTATACACAGCATAATACTGTATTTCTCAAAGCTGCCTATCTAACTCTCACAGAATTCCTTTCAATTGTCAAGGCTTATCCTTTTCTGATTTTCCTTGGTTAAAATAAAGCAAGCAAATAAAGCTAATAAGTATATTCAGGATACTTTTATACTAGAGTATATCTGACTAAATTTTATGTTTTAGTTCTGTGATGTCAATTTAAATTGATTTATTCTTTCAAAATGTATTTACTGAGTATTTAGCACATTTCCAGGCATTTTGCTAACTGCAGGGGATACTTAACAAATTTAATAAAATTGCGTGGAATTTCCACAAAAAGTAGGGTACTCTGTTTATTAAAGGGCCCCCTTATCCAATCCACCAAAATGTAAGACTTCAAAGTCACCTCATATTCAGCCCTTGATCTTCCAGAGGTGACCTGGAGATAAAAATCTCTGAGTTAATTTCCTGTATTACTTTTATAAAATTTCTATTCAAATGTTGCTGACTTCCTTTTTTTTTTCCTTTTCGAATTTTACTAACTTCTTGTTGAAAGCATTAACACTTCAAGAAATGTTTCATTTTCCCCCCAAACTTAAACAGCTCAATAAATGTTTGAAAATCTTTCCATATCTTAAGCATGTTCTAAGTATTTTATCTGATTAGCACTGTAAAGAACTAAATACTGTTTATAGTGTTAATTTCTTAAAACACACTAAAAGGCATATGATTTTTTTATATTCTAAAAGAACAACATTCTGGTTTCTGTGCATTATGTCCCTATTTTTTCTTTTCTCCTATGACTAAACAGTATTATTGCCTTCAAAACCAGAAACATCTTAGCAAAAATAAATCGCCCTGACATAAAATTGAACATAGGTAAATCTCCATTATCTGATGAAGTGCCCAAATCAAAGGAGATTACATTCAACCCCTAAGAACCGTCACCCTTTAAACAAAGTCAAACTCTTAAACAGTGTTTTCCTTTTTTCCCTCTGTGAGGCTTTTAAAATAAATTTTATACATTTTTTTATATAACCTTTACCATACTGTTCCATTTTGGGCCATTCGTTATGCCCATCACCAACCATTTCCTTCAGATTTTTGCTTGTTTATCTGCCAAATCAACTCAATAGGTTACACAAGGCCCTAAGTATGATTTAAGTTCTAAACTACAGTGCTACCCAATAGAACTTTGTGTGGCAATGGAAACATTCTATGCCTACACTGTGCAAAAAGCACTTAAAATACACCACAACTAAGGAAATGAATTTTTAATTTTCCATCTTAAATTTAAATAGTCACATGTGGCTGGTAACTTCCATGTATGTCAACACAGAAGCAGAATATCAGACTTCCACCAAAAAAGTTATTTTTCCACTAAATGCTTCATTTTAAGGAATCTAAAATTTGCCTTGAGATAAAATACTTGCTCACAAAGATAGACTCTCAATATTATAGGTACTGGTCCTTCTGATAAAACTTTTCTTATATTCAAAGATCACTAAAGGCTTATTTTGAAAACTAAAAGTCTGAGATACTGATACACAGACAGAAAAGTACAAGTAGAACAGAAGGCCCAGAAATAGGTCTCTAAACTATAAGAAAATCTGATATGTGATTAAGTGGTTTCTCAAATCATTTGAGGAAAGAACACTAATATATGGTACTGTAACAACTGAAGAAACATTTGGGACAGCATAAATTTAAATCTGTACCTCACACCTTACTAGGGTAAACTCCAAATGGATCAGTTATCTAAATGTAAAATTTGAAATCATTCAAAATCCAAGGGAGAAAAGGATGGGTGCTATCCTTTAGAACGTAGCAGAAGAAAAAGCTTTTATTTGACTACGTAAAACATAACACTTTTCATTGCAAAAAGTAGAAATAAAACAAAAAACAAACATTTTGTACTACATAAAGGGTCCTTTAAAGAGGAGGGATAGGTGCTAAACACAATACACAAATGTATTATAGAACTGTATGCCTTAAAACTATATAATTTTATTAAACAATGTCACACCAATTAATTCAATAAATAAAATAATTTAAATAAATAAGTAAATGATGAGGGGGGACACCCCTCCAAAAAAACACAGAATGCAGAAAATGAGCAATTCTCAGAAAAATAAAGGCAAATGGCCTTAAACATATCAAAGTATGCTCAATTTATAACAGAAATGCAAATTAACACCTCCAATTTTTTTCAACACCTCTAATTTTGCCCATGTATTCTGCTGGTAAGACTATAGAGCGGGGGTGAAAAATTCATTTTCACCAGGGGCCACATCAGCCTCATGGTTGTCTTCAAAGGGCCAAAATAATTTTAGGACTGTATAAATGTAACTATTCCTTAACTGTTAAGGAGTTGAAATTACATTCGGCCCGTTGAAGGCAACTGTGAGATTGATGGGCCCCCCGCCCATGAAAATTAGTTTGACACCCCTGCTGTAGAGAAACAGACATTCTCCACATTCTCATGCTCTGCTAATAAAAAAATACAATATGAACCCTGGCTGGTGTGGCTCAGCAGACTGAGTGCCAGCCTGTAAACCAAACCATTGCCGGTTCAGTTCCCACTTGGGGTGTATGTCTGGGTTGCAGGTCAGGTCCCCTACAGTAGGGGGCACATGACAAGCAACCACACATTGACATTTCCCTCTTTCTCCCTCCCTTCCCCTCTCTGAAAATAAATAAAACCTTTTTTAAAAATACAATATGATATAACCCCCTATGGTAAGGAATTTTGCAACATCTCACAAAATTACACACTTACCAGTCTTACTAAGAATCGACACTAAAGATATAACTAGACAAATACTAAACAAAATATTCAAAATATATTCACTGTGGCATTATTGTAATGACAACAGACTAAAACCAATATGAATCACATCCAAAGGGACTAAATGAAAAAACTATGAGCCCTGGCTCGTGGGGCTTGGTGGATTAAGTGCTGGCCTATGAACCAAAGGGTCTCGGGTTCAATTCCCAGTCAGGGCACATGCCTGGGCTGTGGGCCAGGTCCCCAGTAGGGGGCATGCGAGAAGCAACCACATATTGATGTTCCCCTCTCTTTCTCCTTCCATTCCCCTCTCTAAAAATAAATAATCTTTTCAAAATAAAAATAATAATAAACTATGATACATCCACACAATGAAATACTATACATCTATAAAAAAAGAATAAGATCTTCATGTATTAATATGGATTTAGATCCAAGATATATTGTTAGCCAAAAAAAACAAAACAGCTACAGAACAAGCGGTATAGTTTGCTACATTTTGTGAATAAATCAAATAAACATGCATACATATATAAATACAAATACACATATATTTATTGCATATATTTGTTTTGGGGGGAAAAAATTCTAGAAGGGTAAATAAAACTGTTAGAAATGGTTACCTACAGTGGCAGGGTGGGAATGGTGTGAAAGTAATACAGATGTAAGCAAGGCCATTGAGTATTCTTTGTATCCAGCTTTGACATTTGAACCACATAATAATTTATATATTCTAAATAAATAAATAAAAGGCCTAATACTATTATGTCCTAAATTGTACCACTTAACCATTCTTTAGTGTTGTTTAATAAAGGAAACAGTAGATGTACACTAGGTATATAACTGAAGATTTAGCAGCAATGAAAATGGGTTGCCATGTCAACTCAAGTTCATTCATCTCTTATTAAATACTACCATCTACCCTGGCTGGCGTAGCTCAGTGGATTGAGCGCGGGCTGGGAACCAAAGTGTCCCAGGTTCGATTCCCAGCCAGGGTACATTCCTGGGTTGCAGGCCATAACCCCCAGCAACCGCACATTGATGTTTCTCTCTCTCTCTCTATCTCCCTCCCTTCCCTCTCTAAAAATAAATAAATAAAAT